GTTATTGATAAATTTAGATAAACAAATACATATTTGCGCAAAAAGCGACATTTACATTTTGTTCCAAAGGATGCCACATTATCGCACTGTTTGTCCTTCAAAAGAGAAAAAAGAAAAGAAAAAAAAGAAAAGTTGAGAGCATAAGACGCGTAGAGGTGTTTGACCGGTAACTCTTTACCGAACTCTTTAAAAGGATAATGCCCCGTCGGAGTTCGAACAAAAATCCGACGAAGCGAGCGTGTGTGTGCGATCTAATGCCGGTCGTCGTCTCAGAATCTGTAGCGAAATCCAGTAGTCCGGTCACGTTTAGATCGTCTAACTTCCTTATTGAAAGCCGCGCTTTGAGCCCGTGGCCAAAGTATTTCAGAGTGTCGTCGGAATCCCCTTTCCCCGTCCTTCGTAATCCACTGCTGAGGTTTGTCTGTCCTTTCTAGTTCATTCTTTGCACCTGGATAGACTCTCAAGCCGCGGTCACAATGCCAATCCATCATTGGATTGCATGCTTTGGACGTGTTCGCGGAGAATTATTCTGTCATCGTGTCTACAGCGAACGCCGCGTCTTTTGTATGATGGAGCAGCGTGACCATGGCTTACGAAATCTGGAGCTTATAATTTTCCGCGAATACCCTCCGAAGAACCAATCGCTGCAATCTACAAATAGATCTCGGCGAATTACGAGGCTGAAAATTTGTTTAGAGAGCTAACAACAGTCTGGGCTGAGGCTCTGGGTACAGTGAAATGTCAGACTGCAACATTGCAACCCAAACTGTTCTGTTTTATTTGTAACGTGAAACTTTTTTTTTATTAGGTGTTCGACATTTCATGAAGCTTAGACAAAAGCGTGGCCGAGAGGCTCGACACTAATTGGCTGACGGGTGGGAGAGGAGAAGTGAGGTGATCGACGCTGATTGGTTAACGGCAGGTCATGTGACCGGAGGGTTAGGCGAGGAAAAGCTCGACCACCTGTGCGCACTGACGGAGAGGAACTCGCGAGTGTATGAAATGGCTATGAAAGAACGCCAGGTTTATCAGCCCAATTGGGGGTAGTATTGCTTCATTCTAAAAACAACCGTCAAGTGTACACATGGTACGCGTTAAACTATGAAAAGAAGAGCGCCGTGAACGTAGGAGTCTGGAAACTCGGAGGATCGGTAAACGTTTGTGATGTTAAGACGTTTCCCGTATGGCAACACAATTGTTTAGCAATTTGCTATAAATTATTTAGGTCTGAGCGTATTATCAGCCTCGTCATTAGGCCAAGCTTCCCCCCCCCCCCCCAGATTGCAGCAATTGACTCTTCCTAGTGCTTTGCCGGAAAGTAGACCCCACATCTGTTTTAGATTATGGTAATTGTTTTTAGCTAATCTTTTAAAATTTGAGTTTTCTCGTGTATTTTTTACGAGTTCAAAGTATTTAACTTATAGCGTGGCCTTAAGCATAAAGTCAAATAATAAGAAACAAAATAAAAGGGCTCTATTTTTGTTTTATTTTTGCTTTAGATTTTAATGTAGCGGAGAATTGTGTGGCTCTAAGACTGAAAATGAAAAACAAGGTTCGTAATCAGGTTCTCAAAACTTTCGGTGCAGAAATATATCTCGAACCTGCAACTAACTAACCTACAAGCGGTGAAAAGCACAATATAGTTTATGTTCCTTTTTCTTTTAGTATCCAGGAGAGCGAGAAAGATATGACCCACTGGCCGGCAGAATAATTTATCATTCAGGATTTCCCTCCTCTGCTGATTTCAATGAACTCACTCACTAACTTTGCACATCTCAACAAATAACAAATAAAAAAATAAAAAAAAAAGAATAGACGCACAGAATACATCAGGCATGTATGATACCAATATTTTAAACTCCGGCGCCTATATTTCTGTACTTGCATTATATATATATATAAAAAAAAGAAAAAAAAAAAGATTTGAACAGTTTCAATGGCTCCAAGAAAAATTGCTGCCCTGTACAGTGTCCGATAAGAAAATTCTAAAACGGGCGAGGGTTTTATTTTATTTACTTTTCCCACAAAAAGTTTTATCGTTGCGTTTCAACTTTGGATATACAGGGCACGAAAAAGAACTCTATGTCTTGCACGGCTCTAAACATTCCTAAAAGTGGTCGATGTATAAACCGCGTGACTTCTCGAAGATGAGTGGCTTAACCTTTTAAGCCGGGGGTCACACTGCTATAATACATCATACAAAATACAATCTGAGGCGTGTTTCTTCCCTGTATAGACGGGGTCCCGTAGATCGGTCATGCAAACACTGTCTACAGACATATGTGTGTCATCATATCTGCAGTGACCACCGCGTCTTTTACATGACGTATACGAATAGCTGGATAGCATACCCCAAGCAAATCATCGGTTCCGAGCGAACACATTCTCAAAGATACCGGGATCTATACTGCCCAGGATGCATTCCAAACAGCAATCATAGGTCTTCATTTCATGACCTTAACCAATGAGAAGAGTGATCGGTGCCGTGCCCCCATTGTAACGCAGTCTCATCAGCTAGAAAGTGGAGATATTTTTGCAAGTTGAAGATACCGTTATGAAAGAAGCTTTAGCAGGTTTGCCATTGCACGCGTGCTTTGCAGACACGGCCGGGGCCAAACACTTTGCTCGATCACGCCCATATATGTGTACTGATTTTTTTGAAAGTATATTATGTAAACGGCCCAAATTGAACGTTGTCGTTTTTGTTTTATGGCTGTTTAGATAACGGGGCGTTCATAAAGTGACGTCTTGTGTTTCCGCTGGGGAGTTTGGCCAGTGCAGTATACGGCTGCTAACCCGAGTGACGTTTTTAACGTGCACCCTACGCAGTAGTGATACACGACCGCACGCCGGTACGATGATCATTCAATCTGAAACAACTTGGGGGTCGAAATTAGCCATTAATAGCTGTATATATATCTTTATATTCATGGTGTTCTAAGGCTTTGACGACGATTTTGTCTCACTCAAAGCTCTTGACGTCGAGGCTTGTACAGAGCGCCGGACAAGCTACGAGCGCGAGCGCGTTGTACGAGGCGTTAGCTTCCCGAGCTAGTCTACATAAACCGCATCATGCAATACCTTGACCCCGCCACGTTTACAGTTGGGGTGAAATGGGGTTTAGTTTGGCTCAGGGTTGGGCAGTATTTCAAATACAAGTATTTGAAATACGTATTTCAAATACAAGTATTTGAAATACGTATTTCAAATACTTTGTGTATTTTGCATTTGTATTTAATTACAAATTGGGCGATGTATTTGACGTGTGTATTTAAATACTAAAATGTGGGTATTTCAAATACAACTGTAATTAAATACAATTTTGTGGGCGAAAATACATCCCTCAAATTTATTGGCACTGTCCAGAGCAGTAAGAAAACTACGCTCTGCACCGAATGCAGCGTCTCTCAATCAAGCACAAGCGTTTAGTGACTTCGTGATAACGGTGCTAGTCTAGGGCAAGAATAGTGATGAAATCGACGTTCACAGGCAGACTGGCTAAATAAGTGCCTGTGACAACTTGTGATGCTTTCCAGCCTGATTTCCATCCATATTTTTGCCTGGAACATGCACGGGTCGTCCAGATTTTTGTAACTGGTGCGAGTTGCATCAATAAAAAATTCGCTAGCTAGTGCTGCGCGTCTTGGTCGTCTCGGTTCTTTGTTGGTCTATAGCAAAATATAATCGACAAAAAAAAGCTGCTAGACGCTCTTTACTTTTTTCACCTGTTACGTCCAAGTATTTGGAAAAGTATTTGGAGGAGACGAAATACATTTGGTTGTATTTGTATCTTGTATTTAAATGCTTTTTTGGAAATGTAATGAGATTTGCAATTAAATACATTTTTGACGAAGTATTTTGTATTTGTATTTCGATACATATTTGCATGTATTTTGCCCATCCCTGGTTTGGCTCTTGGCCTCAGCACGCGTAACATTCGACAATGAAGAGAGACGTTTGTAATTTAGCACAATCAATGCAATAAGTACTGGAACTCGTACGCGTATATATTTGTCTTGAAGCTAATCCCAGGAACGAATCACTGCATCGCCTCCAGTATAGTGTGGACAAGAAAATAAACAACATACACAAAGAAGAAAAAACGGGATTCTCGTAGCGTGAGTTAGTTTCTTCAGCCAGACCGTAATATGCTGTATATCAAGCATCTTACAGATAGTAAAGAAAATAATGGGAAGCGTTCAGCTTCGTAAATATTATAAAATAAATAATTGATGACGCTTATTATATCTAATTTTTGCTTCTGGGAGAAACGCTAAATTGAATCAATCTTCTTGAGCTACATTTTGTACCGAAAACAAATTCCCGAGTACCGAGCCAGTAAGTTAATATCAATTACGAGTTAGGCAGATACGCGGCCGCGTTTCGAAACACGCGTTGAAGTTTCATTAAATTAGACGCAATCTGCCAAACGAGCTCCTTTGCATTTCCAGACCACGCGTCCGTTACGAAGCCCGCTATATATAATCAAATATCCACGCGTAACTACACGCCGGCGTTCAGAAAGGCCCTCATCAAACGAGATCACCGACGAACCGAGATACTGTATACTACCGTTTCTACGTACGCCGCCAAACACCATCGTTAACTTACTCGCTTATACCGATTCTACAGAGCAATGTTCCCGCAAATCGAAGTAAATCGAAGCTCGCTATTATAAGTCACCGACAACTTTTGGAGACGAAGGGTGTGGTTTTATTAGCTCATACCCTTTTTGCTTCTTGACTCGCTCATTGACATCTCCTTATCGGACACCACTCAAGCATAGTGGGAGCACGTTTACTTTATACGTGTGTAGGCCTCGATTATGTCTGCGAAGAGCGTTTGACTGATGGGGCAGGGTCGTCCACAGGAAATAAACCCACCTCGGGCAGTGTGTGGAGGCCGTGCTTTACATGATTCATTAGCAGCGCGTAACCGCGGCTGTAATTGCTGTCAGCGACTACATATGTATGGCTCGTACGACATTCGAAGGTACTCACTCGACTGACATCTTCCGTAGTCCGGCAAGCAGAGCAAGACACCCCAGGCAGCGATCAGTAAGACACCACGGCTCGAGGACATGACGGCGGCGTGCGCGCGGGGATCGGCGAACAAACAACAGCTGACGGTGGCCGCGTGTCCGCGTGTGTCTTGTCGGGGAGGTCTCTCTCTTCCCGAAGCCGGTGCAAAAACTCGACTGGACAAGCTGGTTTCTTATTTTTTTCCCTTCTCTGCGCTACTTGCCGATCCCTTTCCTGCGGCGCCGCCGTCGTCATCTTCGCCCGCTTCCCTTTCCTCCTGTATGGGGTACGAGAGAGGCTTGGCGCTTAAATGCGCTCGCCTGTGTTACAACATCAAAGCTAAGCGAGCGCGCGAACAAAGCGTAAAAACCCACAAAAAAAGGTAACCGACGAAAGTAAACAAGAAAACGTATAAAGAGGACGACGCGTGTAATAGAGGCGCCGTCTTGGTGAGCGCGCAAAAATCTAAAATCACCGAGCAACCCGTTCGCGTCGACTCGTCCCGGATGGCTTCTCGGAGATGAACTGCGTCCTGCTTCCTCTTTGGTGATATTTTTGTGTGGCGGTTCGCTCGTTCGTAACGGCGGAGGGTTGAATGTCCAGCGCCTGCCACACCCGCAACTACGTCCTCGTGTACTGCGATGACGCGGCGGCATGCGCGAGTTCGCTGAGCGGGTGGTCGTCGTGAAGCTGCTGCGGAGCGCCCGTGTGATTTTCTTTGCTTCGTTCGGTATCAACTTTGTGTCCGGCTTTAATGAAAGACTTGATTTGATTCTTTATTGTCAGCAGGCAGATCGCCACCGGGCGCCTGCATAAAACGGCGCTGATCGCGACTTGTGCCAACCCGTGTCGTTGTCAGCATTACCAAATGATCTTGGCGCGCTGCCGATACGAATTAAGGTGGTGTTACAAACGTACGCTGAACTGAGAAGGAAACAAGTGGGAACCCGGCAACATGAGCCAGATATCGCCGGTCCTTTTTGTTTTGTTTTTGTGCTTCTTTTGTAGCTTAAACGCTGTCATCACAACCACCTATCTGGTGGAATGGGCTGAACCGCAGGGCGTTAACATTGACGGGAAAAAGTAACTGTTTCTCAATATGTTTTTTTTTTTGTAGAAAGCAATGCGGAAAAAGTAAAGCGCAGATGGTTTGTTCTCGTTAACTGTATCACACAGTGTATGCCAATCAAGATAATTATATAGAAAATAGCCGTAACGAGGATACATGATTCTAAACCGGAAACGAACGGACGACAAGAGGACAAACACACACGTCTGAACTGCTGTAGCTGAATATTTTTTATTCACACACTGAGTTCACCCAGGTTCACACAGCCAGCGCCACGCCCCCCATGCGTAACGTTGAATAGCTCGCCTGTCTAATAACTTCATCTTCAACAAGCACACACTTCGTTTTTTAGATTTATTGGAGAAGCAGCAGTGCCCATTTCTCTCTGCATGGAAAAGGAACAGAGACAAAGAAAGAGCAAAGATGTCGCGGTGACATTTTGGCTCCACCTGCTAAGAAACTTGTGAGTGTGCAGAAGGGAGCGACATCTGCATCTTTTTGATTTATTATATTGCACTTTTTGTAAGTTCCTGACTGATAAAATGCATTGCAAATAAGAAACGATTAAACGACTTATTGTAAAATGTTTCATACCTTGAATACATTTACACGCCAGGGAAATAACGTTCATGACCCATCGCTGGCCGCACACGTCGTACACAACATACAATGACGTCATTCCTTTACGTGCTGCGTAGCCCGCGGGCTCTAAACATCTTATGAGGTCAATCCGGTTACAAAGTATTTCTTGGTATATGAGCTATTTTTCTATGACTCCACGACTGATCACTGGCGTTATAGGTCAACAATATTTATTCCCAGAATCCGGAATCGAAGGCTGCTTCGCTATACACCTTTTTTATAAGGGCGCAGCCATACTGAATGTCGTCAGTTCTGGTATGCGGCGAAACATCGTTTTGATCTCTCCACGCCGCTGGAAGGTGTCTACAAAAAAATGCGTGATTGCCCCACATTCTTATTTTGTCTCGCCTATATATTCTCGCATATTCCAGGTTGAAATGTTTTGTTATTTTTTCGTCCCGCATACCAGATACGAAACGCACGTGACTGAGAATGCCACGGAACAGAAAAAGTCTATACATGGCTTCCACGTGACGTTATCGCTCCCATGCTGGTGGTCCTTCCTACAAGCTTTTTCGCAGAGAAAAACACATTTCAACCCGCGAAACGTATGCTGCACAGGGTACGCGCCCAGCAGCAAGGCCACACATTGGCAACGTATGTGACGTCGATGCAAGGCAGGTATATTACTACCGTATTTTTTTTATCTTTCCTCTAACGGGTCAATGAGGTACTACAAGGCCTCGTCTGGCAGCCAATTACGACTTGATGACGTCACGACACGGGCGTATCTGTTTAAGTATAGACCATGTCGTATCCGCATTTACACATATAGCTTTGAGGTCGCACAATCGCTCAATATCTAAAAACGCACAAGAACACTTATTATGTATATAAGAAGTTTGTGCATTCCAAACTATCTTCGACCTTGAACGTATACGCTGGCTGTTAGCTCCATACACCTGTCAATGAGGACGGGATTATCAGGCATATTATTCGTACGTCAACACGCGGTCCTGACGTCACACCGTAGCGGTGGCGCTGTTGTCGGCACTCTGCGCATGCGTAGACGCTTTAGTTTGCATGAATATGTCTTCTGCTCACACGCAATGCCCACACTTGGTATAAGAGAACGCCGAGTTGTTTGTACATAGCGCGTAGGTCGATTCCTTGCTCGAAGAAATAAGATGGCATCCATAAAGCAGAAAACCGCAAATAATAAGCGGCTTTTTTTTTGTTTTTTTGCTAAAAACAAGGAAACGAACCTTTGAAGATATCCTTCTCGGTTACCCGAATTAAGAAATATTCGCCTGCTTAACATTGCCGTTTTATATTTTTTTTGTATTTTATTATAATTTTTGTATTCTCGTTACTGCTGGCGATCATGGCCATTAGATGCCGCAGCCTTGTACGATAATACGTAAAAAAATAGTCAATAAAAATAATAACACTATTAAAGGTTGGTTGCTTAGAGTCTTTTTTTTATGTTTTTGTCAACTGGAAGCTGGCAGCATTCGGGCGAACCGGTTCGCACACGTAGTCACGATTGGTCGACGTCCAGTCAAGTGCTTGACCGACCCCTTCCGCGTTCACGTCATTACACTACAAAGAAGCATCTATTCCAGAGTGCGGCGTCGACGAGTGCACTGCTCCCCGCCGAAGCCCCGGATGTTCGACCGAGCGGTCAATTTCCGAGGCAGGCCCGGATCGGTCTTCGTAATGATTTGGTTCTCAAGTACACCGACTTCGCGAGCGCTGTTTGCTAAAGTAGAATTTCGACGATCCAAAATGGCACGTGCAAGTCAAAAAAAAAAAAGAAAGAAAAAAATAACTGCGCAGGCTCTCGCCAACCTCCTGTTTGCAACGTTAAAATCAGCGATGTCAGTAATTCTGACGATGGCCACGGGAAGATGATTGCATTCGACAAAAATTTGGGCAAAAAAAAAAAAGAGATAATAAAAGAAGTAAAGTTTAATACAATTTGGGAGTAGTGTATCGAGCTCCTCGATTGGGATTAGAATTTGTGATTAACTCAATCGAATCATATCAATTTTATTTGCTTTCACTAGGTAAAAAAAAAGCACATGACAAAGGTAGATTGAGACAAAAAGCTGCTCAACAGATACTTGATGAAGGTCCCAGCCTCCATGCAGTTCGTAACAGCATTTCAACGTGTACAAAAATAACAGAAATAAAAAAAAAGTGGAATGGAACTAATGGGAAATCCTTCTTTGTGGCGTTTAAGGATTAAATAAGGCACTGTTGGAAGTATTTCTAGCTTAATGTAGCCTCCCCCCCGAAACAAACAAACAAACAAACAAACAAACAAACAAACAAACAAACAAACAAACAAACAAACAAACACACACACACACACACACACACACACACACACACACACACACACACACACACACACACACACACACACACACACACACACACACACACACACACACACACACACACACACACACACACACACTTAAAGAAGCTTGGTGTGCTTCATGTGACGTTAAAGGCCGGTTTACACATGCAGCGTAGCGCTTCTCACGTGTAGTCAGCTACTTACCGTTTGCCATGAACAACAGCTTTGGCAGTGCGATACATAGCTGGTGAACGCTTCCGTCAGCACGCGCTTAGCGCGAGGTCAGCGCTATGCTTGTAGCGCTCCGCTGCATGTGTGAACATGCCTTAAATCTCTTTCTAAAACAGACCCCCGCAAAAACAACAAAAAAATACAAACAAACAAACAAAAAAGACATGTATTCTGTTGTAAAAAAAGGTATGCGATATCACATAAAGCTTCAGACAACTGGCAACCACGATCTAAGTACCAAGATGGCTTTTAGTTTCTAGGCTATAGGTGGCGCAAGCTACCGCCCGTTATTAGAGTGCTTTCATACACACGCGCGCATTATTTCTTTATTTATTTATTTTATTTACACAGTACCTATATCGCCACAGGGGAATTACTGTAGGGGGTACATGGCACAGGAAAGTAAAACAATTATACGTCACATTGTATCAAACATGTCAATAAAAAGTCAGACTATTGATTGAAAGAAGTGCAATACGACTGTTAAAAAACTGTTACACAAAATCAGAACAAAAGAGTACAAAACAAGAACTACAGCACACCACTATGAAAGGATGTCTATTAACGAGGAAAACATAGCATCCGAAATCTCAGTGACCATGTGCTGCGGAAGACTGTTCCAATCACTAATTGATTTTAGGAAATATGAGTTCTTAAACATTTCAGTTCTACAGCTAATATTCTTCATTTTTAGCGGGTGGTCCACTCTTGAGGAAAGGCAATCAGGATTGTGTAAGTCATTGTCCTTTACAATACCTGTTTGTCCTAAGTAAATACATCTGAAAAGTTTCAGTCCAAGATATTTTCTCTGCGAAACCAGAGATTTCCACTCCAGTTATCTCTTTAAAACTGTTATGCTTGAGCAAAATTTATAATTATTTGCAACAAAACGGGCTGCTCTATTTTGCACGCGCTCTA